TCAATTAACATGTTGCAAGATTCCACGTTCATGTTGATAGACTTCAAAAAAGGATCTCTTTGATATTGAAAAACTTCTTTGACAGAATAGGAGATGCGATTAAATCTTTCTTTTGGTTTGATGCATGTATGCCTTATCACATCAGCAAGTGTTGTATCGGCAAATGTACTGCCAAATCGCTGGCCTATATTTTCAAAGTTATTTAAACGTAATTTTAGGTACAGACACCAAATAGAATGAAACGATTGTTTTACCTTTAAGTATTTCACACACTTCCAAAGGGAGAAAGACATCTTGGTTGACTGCAACACATGGCAATTCCTCAAACTCCAACTTTCGGCCATAGGTTAGATGAAAATATTCGGCAATCGAAATTTTTCTCTTTTCTTTTTCATAGTAAAAAATTATTCTACTGGCAGGTTCTTTGGTAAGATCTTTAACTATATTAATGGGTTTCCGTTGTTCACGGTGCACCGATATGATCTTAACCCCTCTTAGATACTATATGAAGAGTTTGTCCGTTTCAGTTAACGACGCGACGAGATCCCCCCAAAAATCCATTTACATGCGCATACATGCCTTGAGTAATGTCATTATTTCAGTTTTAGTCATTCCCCGGTGAAATTCATCTTTGCTGTGCTTTCCAAGGATTCTACAGGCAACATCCAAAATTTTGCCTCCAAGGTAAAAAACACTAGCACAAACATCCACATTAATCGCTAAGCAATCTATCATGAAACGAGCGACAAAAAAGAAATAATAATAATAATAATAAATAAAATAAAAATAGCAGGAATAAGAAACCGAAACAGCTCATAATGATCATGCATTTACTTTCTCCTGCTCTCAATGAGTGACAGAATCCTTTTTTCAACTCGAATCCACCGGATAGAATAATCGACTTTTCGCGCGGATCATCGGGATATATGCCTCTACCAACGGTTAAATATTTTTGGCGAACAGAGAAGTTGATATATGTATTCAGAGACGCTATACATTTCACAACTTCGCTAAGGGAAGAATTTCCGCCAGATATATGTTTCTCCAACTCGTTAAAGTTTAGTAGCTGAATGAATCGGATGGTGACATTGTATGTGCCGACCTTAGCGTCCTTGCCATTGCTCTTCGTGAGTCTCACCTGATTTATCGAGATTGATTTAACATTAACATTTTTGTAAATTTTCGAAATTAAGGAGACTTAAATGTTGGATACCTTGAACTGATTTTTTCTGCGTGCGTTTTCAATAGGGAGAGGTGTTGCCGAGTAAATAGCGTTGTTACCATCAAAAACTGCATGACAGTTACAAAACCGATTTTCCTCTGCTAAACGAACGTAAATACGCTCAACTGTCTTTTTGTTTGTCCTCGGGGTGTGTTCAAAATTGTAATGATATATAGGAACCCTGGGAAACTAATAAGAGAATGTCTTAATTGCGTTTAAATTGTGCGAAGATGAAAGTCAGCAGATATTCACCTTCGAGACCTTGAAATAGTTGCTTTTCAGTTGAATAATACGTCCTCGTTTTCCATAATTTGGTTTTTTTGCTATTTTAATTTCCTTGTCTCTGTCTGCGATGTTCAATTGGTCAACCTGTTTTTCGCAGCTCACTAGCATTGTAAATAACACAAGAGAAAGATATGTGTAAGTCTGTTGTGTGTTTCTTTTGAAGATATGAATGGAATGTTTTGTAAATAAATGGTTATTTTGGCGTAGTTTTTTTTATTTAGAAAGTAATGCACGCTTTTTTAATGACTTGCATAAGAAAATCGGGGTTACTTTCTGAGGTACTAGTTAAATTGAAAATTTTGTAATCGTGCATTTAATTATAACAATTACAATGCACATTCAATACAGCACACGCGCTGATGAAAATGCGTATGTTCGATAAATATTGAAAATTCCGATTATTGTTCTCTCGAAGTTGATCCTCTCGTTCTCATGAAGTTTTATCATAAACAAGGGATTTCGTTGGGAAATTGTCTTTGCACGGAGGAATTTCCCGATGTCCTCAGAAAAGGAAAAAGAAAAAAAGTCGTCGGATAAATGTGCGACAATTAACAAGATGTCTAGTAAACATGTGAAACATCTACTGTACCGTTACATTTTACCTGATAGATAATAGACGGTAAAAATACAAAACGAGTTAATAAAAAATTTGCTATACATTATTACAGATTGGAAATTTATATTACCAATTTAAATTTGCATTGAAAAAGTTAATTTTCACATGTCAGAGAAATCTTTATAGGGTCTCCCTTTTTTGGTATATAAAGGACCGATGAAAATCAATTCGGTGGATATACCAGATTAGTTGTGAAAAAAGGTTTTCCGATTAAAAAGAAACTTACGGAAAATTTAAAAAAAGACGAAAAAAACAATAATTCAGGTAATCATCTCTTTCTTGTTTTTTCTCGACAGATAGTAACATGTTGACAGAAATCGTTTCTTACCTTCCTATTTCTAAGCTGATTCTTATTCTCTTTGTTATATTTGTGTTGATTTTTGCTTATAGAAGAGACTTGAAGGAGACGATGAATGCGATATTCGCAATAGTGTACTGTGCGGTCCTACTATGTGAGTGTCCCTCTTCACGAATCATCTAATGATTAAGCCATATCTAACTTCGAATCTCTTGATTCACGCAAAATCAAAGGTTTCCGCCTACCTTACGCATTCTTATCACACATAATGGGTAACATTGTTAAGCAAAAAATCCACCAACCAGATTTACGTCAACGATTCATGTCTGTCACTGTCAGGACTGGTTGTGAGACATTACCATTATGGATTATAAGGATCTTATTCTATATGTCGGGTGTATATGAACAGATGATCAATGGTCTGTTTTTCGGCAAGTTGAGAAACCAGTGGTGCCGTTCGGTGTCTGGTTCTGAATGGAAGGGCTATTTGATTGGTGAGAATGCGGGAACAGCGGAAATTGGTGAAGATGCAGATATAGTGATCATTTATGCTCACGGTAAGATCGATTATTATTATTATTGTTTGGCTTTCGTGTTTTGCACGCGTTACTAATACCAATTATTATATAGGTGGTGGCTTTGTT